TCCAACCAAAACTGTTCTATGATTCTAAGACTTATAGATTAAATTTGTCTCTAATGTGGGCACCTAAATTTAGGTGTGTAGCTATCACCTTCTGGGATCCAGGTTTGCATAGAGAACCTAGGCTCCGTTGACTTTATTGGCAAAGGGTTTGATTCAGTTGCCTAAAAGTAGGCACCTGGTGTGATCTGAGACGTGTAGGATATTTGAAGCAGCTTCATGTGGCTGGCATAAACGATACACAACCTATAGGTAACTCATGTCCTCAGCTGGGAGCTAGAGACTAGCTAGGACAAACTAGAGCATCTCACGTGTACTAGATGCCTTTGTTTAAGCAACTAATTTGCCTCAGAACTCCATTGATACCATAGGAGCTAAGATGTCTTGGTCACATTCAGGTACCTAAATGTGACGCCTTTCTTAATCTTTAGCTCAATCCTGGTCATGGTTTCTGGAATACAGAATCTTGCTGGAATGCAGATTGCTCATTTGTGGTCTAAATTCCCCACTTTTAATTATATGTGGTAATCTGTTGGTTGAGTTGAAATAAAAATACAGAAGATATTTAATTGAATATGACTTTTACTTTTTGGGTACTGTTTGTAACCTTGAACTGCTAGATAAGTGGCAGGAGTGGTCATTTAGCATGTAAAGCTTGTCAGCCTGTCATAGAGTGTGAGGTTACAATAGTCACTTTTCATTCTTGGGCTGGAGGACACACCTACTGCTCAGATGCAGGGGACAACAGCAAGACTTCTTAGGGAATAAAGTATTTCTGCTTCCAGGTTTATGGCTATTTATGTTCTAATTATGTTCTAACAGCAGTTTCTCTAATGACACTTCAGTCAGCTGCCAGTGATCTAATGAAAATATTTTCTGAGTGGTCAGGACATAGGGTTCAAAGCAAATTGGTTGTGAAATGTTAAGTCTGTGGATCCGTAGCGGCTTGACAGCCAGGCAGATATGTTTCCTCTTGTGAGGGCAGGAGCTAGAGACTGTGAAGAGAAAGTAGTACTGCCTTGTCTTGTTGTGGGGAGAAAATACTCTACATGAGTGAAGTTCTGTATTAACACAAAAAGTTGTCCCTATGTTTATTCTCCTAATTAAAGACTTACAGCTTCTGTGAAGCGTAAGAAATTTATGAAGTGTATTTGTGTTCGTACCTGTTTCTTCTGTAAAAGGCAAAAATGACATTATTAAGTAACAATTGTTTATTAATCTAAGACTAATACTTTTCACAAATATTTAGTTGTAACAATCAAGATGCACTTTTCTATGACATTTTGAATATACACAACAAACAGTTTAGCATTGTTGTCTTCAGCTTTTAGAATGCATAATTTCACTGAACTAGTCACAAGAAGAAAAGGTAATAAATGTGCAGTTTTCCATATTTTAAAATGGAAAAGATCACACCCATAATAACAAACAGTATCACATCATAGATTCATAACTCAGCATACCTGTACGCTGCTATATGAATGTTCTTGTAATGAAAAACAATGCAACATTAACATGACTTGGAACCACAACTTCCAGTTGTTACTGAGGGAGGACCCACCACGATGCTGAAAGAGAGGAGAATTTATTTATTTGTTAACATAAACAATATTGCTTTTTCTACCTCTTGTGAAAAGTCCTAAATGGCTGTAACGCATATAAAGAAACGTGCACTTACATATGCAGCTAATACTGCTGTATTTGAAAGCCGCATACTTTCAAGGACAAAACCTCTACAGGCAGGGGAAGAATACTTAAAATACTGGGAGAGCTGAGTGGGGGGATGGCTTTAGCACAAGAATTTATATTTATTTTTGATAACATGTGAAGAAACATTAAAATGTCATAGGTGCAGTTGTATAGAATTAAGTGCCCAAATCCCAGAAAGCAAACCGCATAAATCCTCACTGCTGTTCTGCTGTGTGTATCAGTATTTAAGCTGAGCACTGTGTCCCCTGCGTGGCTGTGCTGCCTTTAATGGCTTTCTTTCCTGGTGATATTATTCAAACCTGATGTTCTTTTTCCACAGCTCTAGAAATTAAGAGTATTTTGCCACAAAAGTAAGAGAATTGATGGACTTGTAAAAATGTCATTCCTGTAAAAGAAAATCTGTAATTGCCAGATTATAGACAGGACTGGAGTGAAGCACATTTGTACTTCTTGTGTCCAGTTCTGGGCCCCTCAGTTCCAGAAGGACAGGGAACTGCTTGAAAGCATCCAGCGCAGAGCCACAGAGATGATGAAGGGGGTGGAACATCTCCCTTCTGATGAAAGACTGAGGGAGCTGGGTCTCTTGAGCTTGGAGGAGACTGAGGGGTGACCTCATTAAAGTTTATAAATACGTAAAGGGCGAGTGTCAGGAGGATGGTGCCGGGCTCTTCTCGGTGATGGCCAATGACAGGACAAGGGACAACAGGTGCAAGCTGGAGCACAGGAGGTTCCATATTAACATAAGGAAAAACTTTTTCACTGTGAGGGTGACAGAGCACTGGAACAGGCTGCCTGGAGTCTCCTTCTCTGGAGACATTCAAAACCCACCTGGACACATTCCTGTGTGACCTGCTCTAGGTGGTC